TAGGGGCTGGCTTCCTGCTTTCCTGGCTCTATTCCTCTCCCAACCCTTACCTGGACCCACTCTTTCTTTCTTGTCTACAGCCTTGTCCAGCTCAGCTGTGCTTCCACTCCCCGAAGGTACTCCCTGACGTGGGGCCCCGTGTCCAGGACAGGGCGCCACAGGAGCCCCCGGGGGCTGGGACTGCCTGGATCTTAGTTCTAATCCTTACTGGATGGGTGATGTTAGACAAGTCCCCTGCCCTCCCTATACCCGTTTCCTGGCCTATAAACCGGGACTGGATAGGGCATCTACTCTAGTTAGGAGGACTGAGTTAACCATAAAGCACTCAGAACAGAGCTGGGCTCTTCAGCAGCACTATGTGTCTTACTGCTGAGGCAGGAAACAGCCTGAGGCCCAGCTTCCCCATCCAGTTAGGGGATGCAACCTAGCACCAGAGGCTCCCTAACCAACCTGGTGTCTTGGCCTTAACCCTCACTGTTTACCGGTCAGGAAGGTGGCAAGTCTTGTTGTCACCCCAGCTGTTGGGCAAGAACAGCAAAGAAGGGGCATCTGACAGCCAAACGAAGACTTATCCAGCTGTTCCTTTGCCAGGTTCTCTGCAGGGCGGAAGCCTGGCTAGGAAACAAGATGGGGATGAGGAAGAGCTAGGGCTGTAGGCGGAGGTGTGGACATAGCCCGGTGAGGCCCCACAGGGAAGATTTGAATTCTAGAAGCCCATGTAAGGCTGGGAAGCAAGCTCTGGGAACAGCCTCCAACGGCAACGGCTCCTTGTTGGATGATCTCCTACCCCTTACAGCTGAGGCCTCGCCACCATCTGTCACCCCAGCTGGGCTCAGTCAGGGGGGCTGAGAGCCTCATTCAGCTCAGTGACTCAGCTGAGAGTCATCCTTACAGCTGATCAAGCTGGGCTCCTGCCTTGTTCCGAGGTCAAGCCCTTGGCAACTACCCTTGGTGCAGTACCAGGACCATCTCACCTCCCTGACCACCTACTCACCATGCCCTAAAGCTGTGCCTTCCACCTAGACCACCTGCCAAGTTCACCCAACGACAGGTTTTGCCTTTTCACCCTCACCATCCACGGAAGAAGTCTCAATACAGGTCCTCTCAGGGGATCCGGGGAAACCATTTGAGTCAGGCAGCATGTTCGTGACAAGTCCCAGATTTAGACTTTTGTGGTTTGCCAGACGACATGCAGTTAGAGCATTTACTTCCAATATATCAGGGCCCTCAAACGACAAGGGGTGAGGATCGTGTTGACCTTTGGAAGGTCCAGCCCAGCCTTGGATTTGGCCCCAACTCCAAGTCTACCCAGACCTCCCCTCAGTGCCTGCTTCTACCCGGCCCCTTGCTGCTCTCTGCGTGCATGTTCAGCCTTGCCTGATCACACTCCCCTCAACTGTCATGAGGCTCCTACAAGAACCAGTCAACCTTCACCCCAAGTCTCCGAGCCCAGTGGCTCCCCCGCTGACCACAGGAAGAAGGGAGGCGGGATGGTGGATGAGCAGAGAACAAAACAGCCTCTAAGCAGAAGCTGGGCTCCTCCTCTAGTTAAGAGGCAGTTCTTGACCCACGTCTTGGCTCCAAAGTAAACTTACGCTACAGCAAGATTTCATAAATAAATGAGTCACGAGTCACTACATATCAGAGATCTTCAGGGCCAACTGTGAGTGGCTGACACAGTGAATCTTAAAAAGCAGATGCCCTAGCGACCACCTACACTGTGTAGTGGTCTGCAGTGAGCAGCAGCATCGGCATCACCTGGAAGCTTCTTAGTAACACAGACTCTTGGGCCCTCCCCGAGAGCCACTGAATCAGTGGGCTTTCTAACCACATATCCAATTATCCAGGCGCACATTCAAGGATGAGCAGCTCTGGTCTAAAACAGCCACTCTCAACCCTGGCTGTGCGTTAGAATCACCTGGAGATCTTTTAAAACCTCCCATCTCTGGGGATTCCGATTTAATTGGTCTGGGGTGCGGTCCAAGCATTGCTATGTTTAAAAGCTCTCCCGCTGACTCTAATATATAGCAAGGATTGAGTTCTGTCACCGCCGGCGTGATCTTGGGCCACTTGCTAGCCTCTGAGCCTTCCTCTCCTAGACTGTGAAGTAGGAATAAAAGTGACCTTTTCCTGGGCTTAAAGGGATTTGAGACTAGAGGCTGTCCCTAATGCACTGTAGGAGCTCAACAAAGGGTGCCTAGGAGGAAGAACAAAGAGCTCAGATTACTGACTGCTCCTCAAGGGCAGGGAATTTCATTTATTCTCCTCCAGCCCCCTTCACTCCCAGGTCCAAGTAGCCCCCTCTAGCCAACACAAGCCTCCTTGTCCCAAGCCTGGGCTCGCTCTTGGTCCAGGCAGCCCTGAAGTTGGAGGTGAGGCCGGTGACTCAGCCTCGCCACCATCACCTCTATCAAGCTTAGGTTTAGGAGGATGCCCATGAAGTTCAGCATACACGGGGTCATCTCTGCAGTTTCCTGTCACTGATTTTAAACTTTCTAGTCTTTGTTTGGAGAACATGTGAGTCACATTACGCAGGGACGGCAGAGAGGCTGTTATCACTAGACAGCTTGCTGGTTTAGGGAAACTATTTCCCACTTTAGTGGATTATAGTGGAAATTCTTGAGCATTCGTCTCAAGTCACTTTTTTTAGCAGCAAAGTTTCAGGAACTTTTCTTCCTATGAAAATCTTATTTGAGCTCTAGCCCAACTGGGCCACTTTGTGGGAGGAGGAGCAGCTTGGTGGTCTCAATGGGGACAGAGCAGCTCTGCCAGCTCAGGATGCTTCTTGTCCTACCTCCACCTTACTTCCTGGATGCTGCCAATTAACGCCAATCACCGAAGACAAGGATTGCCTAGATTAGAAGTGACCCAGGAACCAGGCTTCAGATCAATGTTTTCTAAACTCACCCAATCATAGCACTCAGCTGGGAGTGTTGATCCTGTTCATGCCAATTCCCAGGCCTCACCCCAGACCCACTGGGCCAAGGTTTGCAGAAGAGAGACTCTGGAACTTGTATTTTCAGCAAGTGCCCCCAGATAACAGCTCCCACTTATTAAGAACCTAATCTGTACCAGACATTGTGTTAAATGCCTTTAATTAACCCATTTAACCCTCACAAGAACCTAGAAGTTAAGCAATGTGCTCAGGATCACACAACGATCAAAGGACAGAGTCAGAATTCCACCCCAGGAGCCGGCCCCGTGGCGTAGTGATTAAGTGCGTGCGCTCCACTGCTGGGGGCCCGGGTTTGGATCCTGGGCGCGCACCGACACACCGCTTGTCAGGCCATGCTGTGGCGGCGTCCCATATAAAGTGGAGGAAGGTGGGCACGGATGTTAGCTCAGGGCCAGTCTTCCTCAGCAAAAAGAGGAGGATTGGCATGGATGTTAGCTCAGGGCTGATCGTCCTCACAAAAAAAAAAAAAAATTCCACCCCAGATAATGTGACTGCAGAGCCCCCAAACCAGGAGGCAGCTTGGCTTCTCAGGCAGAAATGTGAATAAGATTCTAAACCTAAAACAAGGACTTAAGGATCTGGGTGGGGCCGGATACTTTCCAGGAGACAGTGCCAATGGCAGTTCAAAGATGAGCGTTTTCTGCAACCTGGGAGGGCAGTACCCAACAAAGAGGCTTTACTCTGGGGCCCTCAGGCTGTCCCTGGGCCATCCTCTCAAGGTGGCTGCCTTACCTGCTCAGGGCTTCAAAGAGCTGCCCTGCCCAGACAGCTCCACCCCAGGGCAGCTGGGTGCCCTGTGTACCAAGGGTGGAAACAGGCCGCAGCTTCCAGGGAGTCAGTTGGCACTCCCCCTAACAGCCTACCCTTCCTCCATAACCCAGGGGTCCACCCAGGCAGGGAGCAGAGAACACAGGACATTTGCCTCAGCTACCATCCCCACCACCACACTTCACTCGGACACCAGCTCTAACAGCCCCAGAACCGCAGGCTGGTGGCTCCAAACGAGCTCCCCGTTTTTCACTTCCCTCTCCCAGAGAAAAAAAGAGCCTTGCTCACCAAACTCCACAACTCCCGGAAATGCAGCCTACCTTAAAATCACTCTGCTAACAGTTTCTCAAATGGTCTGCAAGGCCCACAGTTGGCACAGCCCTGAGTGGGGCAATAGGAAAATTTCAACATTTGGCAGCGTTAAGGGGTCTCCAGGGGGACAAATCACATTCTAAGAGCTCAAGGGGACAGGCCAGAGCCCAGGTCCCCAGGAGGAGGGGCAGGTGAGTATAGCAGGGACCAACCTAGCTCCAGGAGGAAGTCTGAATGGACCCCCTAAATTCCTCCACCCTTGCTTCTCTGATGTGGGCGCTTGAAGGCAGAGGCCTGAGATTTTGGGGGGTGGGTGTTGATCTACTTTTGCTTCAAAAGACACAAAAAACTCCAACAAGGAAAGTAAAATCTCCCAAGGCCAAGCCTCCACCCATCTTCTCCGGCCCTGGTTCAGAGAGATCTTACCCGCTCCACAGAAGCAAGGCCCTAGAAGGCAGGACAGGGCTAGACAAGCCCTTGAGAGGCACCAGATCCCATCCCCGGTTTGGGGCTTTGGGGCCAATACAAAGTACTCACATCTGGAAGCGTGGCTGGCTGCAACTGACTCCTCAGATGGAGAAACTCCCTCAGCCGGCCCCAGGAAAGCTCTTCCCGGCTGCCGGCAGGGCAGGGCAGGGCGGGGCAGGGGAAGGGAATCACTTCCCAGAGGCGGAGACAGGCTGGGGGGTGGGACCTGGGCATTTAAAGGGCCCTTGCAGCGGGGTCTCGGTTTCTCCTCAGGGCAGCTTCTACTGCAGCTGAAGGCACTGCGCTCATTTAGCGCTCGGGAATTCTCGCCTCACAGTCAGCTGGCAGCACTGGAGGGGTCAGAGGGCCTGAGCAAGGGGGCAGGTGCTGAGAGAGTTCACCTCTGCCCACCTGGCTTTAATTGCCCAATCTGGGGGAACACAATTCTGCCTCTCCACAACTGTTTGGGCTCCAGCTGCAGCCCCTCCACTAAGAGAAGATAACTTTCCATTTTTTATTTTAGATTCAGAAAATTCAGCACATGTGTCCAAAGAGATGTTCAACAGAAAACATACACACAGGTCCTCTTTCTGGCAAAGTGCTGTGGTTGGGAGCTTGGAGTTTCTTTTTTTCCCAAGTTTCCCAGCACACCGGGTTAGGGCAGGAGGGCCAAGGCCCCAGCAGGTCCACACTCTGCATCCTAAAGGCAGCGGCAGCAGTCTCAGTATTTCCGCTGCCGGGGGAAGAGACTACTCCCCGAGGACCGGAGTGGGGGGCTGGTGGAGTTCGGGTCCTCTGCGTCCAGGCTGAAGAGGTCCCTGCCAGTACGAAGGATCTGCTCCTCCAGCTTTTTGTGTCGCTTCATGTCTGAGAGGACCTTGTCCAGGCGGGCCTCCCGTTTCTGGCTCCGGGCTGAGCTTCCTGGAGGATGGGAAGGTGAGAAATGTGGAAGGGAGTGAGGCAGTGTGCACCAGGCCTGCCTGGATGTTACTACTTGGGGAGCTCGTTAAACATACAGATCTGCAGGCCTCCCACAGGGAGGTTCTGAGGTTTAGGGCTGGGCCTCAGATGGGCTGGGCAATGAAGGTCTGAATTATGAGAAGGTGTCAGTAATGTGAAGACCAGTGAGGAGCATCGCGGGGGGGGGCAAGAGCAAAGGCCCTAGGGCAGGAACAGGGAGGGCTGTTCAAAGAGGAGCGTAAAGAGCTGGGGGAGATGTGAAAAACGAGGCCAAAGAAATGACGTACAGGCCATGAGACGGGGTTTGGATTTCTTATTTTAAATGGAAATGCCTTTGGAAGCCTTGGCGGCCTGGAGAGTGGGGGTTGGATTCTCTCTTGACATGCTCTTACCCCCCAGCTATAAAATCCTTTGGAGAATTTTAAACAAAGAAGTAACATGATTTATGTTCTAAAAGAACCATTCTGGTTGCTGAGACTGGAGGCAAGGAGACCAGTTAGGAGCTACTACAACTCTCCAGGCAAGAGACATGGTGGCTTGGATGAGGGTGTGGTGTTGAAGGTGGAGTGTAGCAGATGAACTTGGAAATGTCGTGGAGGCAGGGCTAACAGGATTGGCTGTTAACTTGATCTCTAGAGTAAGAGAAAGAGAAATCAAGATGGTTCCAAGGGTAAATTGTAGGAAGGCACATGGAGTGAGAAATTGGTTCAGATTAGCAGATACACATATACAGTAGTATAGAGATGTGGATTACATAATAACAAATGACCAGGAAGACTTGGACTTCTGGGGAGATGGAGATAAAAGAGATGGGAATTATCTGACAGTGTCTTAAAGGGTGTCCATCTAAGCTGGAAGGATGGTACCACTGGGTGAACGCTCTCTCCTGCAGCTACAAGTTGTGTAGCAACCAAGGCACCAAGCAAAGTCCTCTTTTAGGGAGTCACTTTTTGGGTAAGTGGGAGCAGAGGCCCTTCACCTCCCCCCAACTCTTCCCTCTTGTCTGTACCTGGGGTGCGTCTCCGGTCAATCAGAGAGTCCTTTGGTGTCATTGGTTCATCATCAAAGTCAAATTCTGTGGGCAGGTGCGGTCTGGGACAGGTGGACAGAAAGTGAGGGTGAGGGTAATCCCCCCAAACACCCACACATGAGCTCCCCAGCCTGCCAGCTCTTCCTCTCCTGCTCTTCCCTCCTCCATTTTCTATGCTCCTAGGTCCCACCTCCCTTCCCTATCTTCTCCTGGCATCGGGGGAGCAGCCCCAGGGACAAGGTGCCAGGGTGTGCCCTCACTTTTCCTCTTCCTCCTCTTTGGCCTCTGGCTCCTCATCGGATCTCTCCTCTTCACTCTGGGCTTCAGGCGTGGGTGGCCGGCGGGGAAGGATCTCAGCTTGAAGCTCCAGGGTACCGTGGGCAGCCAGCAGTTCATAAAGCCGCTGGATTTCGGAGGGCGGCGGCATCCAGGACCGCCCATCTGCGGGCAGCTCCACCTCCTCATCGCTGCAGGGCACGCACCAGTCCTCGGATTCTCCGTTGGCATGTTCTTCCCCCTCAGCGCTAGGGGCTTCTCCCTGCACCTCCTCGGCCCCGGACCCCTCACGCTCGGCCTCCTCCCGGCTCCCTTCCCCCTCTTCCTCGGGTGTATTGGCCGAAGCAGAGGGGCCTCCGGTATCCTCCACGGCCAGAGCCTGGAGGCCGGAGGTCACCTCCCCTTCTTCAGACAGAGGCACCGCCGTAGTGGCCGCAATGTCTCCATGACCCCGGACAAGGGACATAGGCTACTAGGGAAGGGGCCCTGCGATGATAGGAGATGCACGAGTACTAAGCTAGGGGTCCCCCGCTCCCCCCCAAGGGACTGGGCTCCCCAGGGGTTTAGGGAATGTCTCTCCAATCAGGCTCCAACTGTCCCTGTGACCAGACCGTCCGTTCCCAGGAAGGAGCGTTCAGTCCCCTCCAAGGATCCCGCCCCACGGATCGAGATCCGGTATTCCGATGTTCCCAGGGATCGGCAGAAACCACTTTCCGGGCCGGAGAGGGGCGGCCCCGCTCTTCTCGCCTTCACACCGCCCCTCTCCCCACACCTCGCACTTCCGCCACCTCAGCCGCCGTACGCACCTGGAGCTAAGACCCGCCTCCGGGTTGCGCAGGGTCACAGTACGCAGGCGCAGAGATGGCGCGGGAGGTCCACTCTAGTCAAAACTACTTGGAAGAGGGAAGCAAGGGAAGGCGCATGCGCAAGTAGGCCCTCGGGGATAATAAGCTTCGGCCCACAGTAAAGATGGCCACCGGGATGGCGCATGCGCATACCACCTGGTGGGTTCTGGCGGAAAGGAGGCGGCGGTCCCGCAGGCCCCCCGGCGGACCGACGCAAGGACCGACTGAGGCTGGAGGCGAATCTCATGCAGTCTCCGTTTATTAGTGTTTCAGACTCATGCAGCATCCGGCATACAAAAAGGGAGAATCAGTTTGATGTATCCTTTTTTTTAGACTTTTAGTTTTTCTTCCCATACTTTTTTTAGAAAACAAAAAACCCGCCAACTCCGAACCGCGTCGTCGCTGGGTCCCTGCCTCCTCAGTGGGCTGTCGCGTGCAACAAACCTCCCTTGTCCTCTCAGAAAATAATTATAGAGCTCCCCGCCCCTCCCTCGCTCCCTGCAGCTGGGAGCTTTGGTCCTATTTTTGGGGTTCTTTCGTTACAAAGCACGTGAATAACCCTAGCCCCAACGCCTTTAAGGAACTCGCTGACTGGGTTAAAAAGCCTAGGTCAGACAGGTCAACTCAGGCTGCCCTGGGAGGGTCAACAGCCGCGCCTCTCCCTTCTCCCAGGTGCGTGGTCGGAACAGTGCTCGCCACCCCTGCACGAGTCCCCAAACTGAGGCCTGGCTTGCCAGCTCTGGGACCCGCGCCTGACGGCGTCTGGGCCTGGGTGGTCCGAGCAGAGAACAGTCGGAGCCTGGGGCTAGGGAGCCCTTTCCCGGCACCGCTCCCCTCCCCCAGCCTGATCTAAGTGCTGGAGTCTTTGTGGCAGGAGGGTGGAGGAGAGGATCCTGAGGGGAGGAAAGGATGCTGAGGCGGGATGAGGAGGCAGGAAGAGGAAGGGGGTGGAGGGTGTGGAGAGGGAAGGGGAGATGATGAAGGAAGAAAGGAATGGGGGAAGATGCCAAGACAATGAAAGTTGGGAGGGGAGACCAGGGTTGAGGTGCAGGGGATTTGGGAGGTTGGGAGAAGTGCAGGAAGGATGGGAGAGATGCAGGGAGGCTGAGAGCAAAGAGAGTCTGGGAGATGTTCAGGGAGGTTTCCAGAAGTGCAGGGAGGTTTCCTGAAGTGCAGGGATAGGGAGGCCGAGAGGCTGGAGGGGATGCAGGCAGAAGTGCAAGAAGGTTGGAAACAGTGCAGGGAGAAGGGAAGCCTACGGTTGGCAGAGGAGCCTGGCAGGATGCAGGAGCAGGAAGGAAGCTGTAAACAAGGCCGCTCAGGCTCCCTTGGTCCCTATGGGTGCGGGCCTGGGCCATCGACTGGGCTCCCCCCAGGGGAGGATGGGCCCAAGGCAGCTCCCAACAGGAGGAAAAGTCTTGGAATGCAGGGCAGAGCCCCTCACTTATACACTGTGGGAGAGGAGAGGGAGGGAAAGGCAGAAACAATGGAGGGGAGGGAGAGACAAGGAGAGACAAAGGAGAAGTAGGGAGAACAGACAGGAGAGAGCAGGGGCAGGGGTTAGTAGAGCTGCCCTTACCAACCCTGCCATTCCTCCCAGCCTGTCCCAGACCCCCACTCACCGCCTAAGTTGATGACGCAGGAGGCGATGATGATGAGGACCCCCCCTACCAGTGCCACGATGCTTAAGAGCTTGGCCACGCGGCCCAGGCGCTGGGCCCCATCCACGTCCCCCTGCTGCAGGCTGTTCCGGGACTGGGGTTAGGGTGAGGGGTGGGGACACCATGGCCCAGGTCAGGAGAAGCCAACCCAGCAGGGATCAGGTGAAAGAGTCGTCCGGCCCGTGGACAGTGGTTAAGGGAGGAAGGAAGGTTGGAGAAGTAGGGGGAGGAGGGCACTGGTCAGCAAGGCTGTGTGAAACATGTCCCAAAATCCCTCCCACCTGAAGGGTAGGGCAGGGGTGGCTTAGAGGGTGAACTCCTAGGGAGAGGCAAGCAAAGGGCCTGTATTTGGAAAGTAAAATCCATGCAGAGAGGGGAGGGAAGGTGAGGCTATTCCTGGGGCTCTGTCCCAGCACTGGCAGGAAGCTGGGAGCCACAGCAGGCCTGGGCCAGGGTCCCGTGGGGCTCACCATGACGGCATAAGCGAAGGCCACGATGTTGACAGGCCACATGGGGCAGAAGCAGGACAGGATGGCGAGGATGATGTAGTCCCGAGGTTTCTGAGTGCCTTCACCCCCCTCCACCCCAGACCCTGCCAGCTGGGAGCTGGGGTGGCGGCTCAGGCTACCTCGAGGAGATCCTGGATGACCACTGTGAGCCTTTCCTAGTCGTTCCTCCTCAACTAGCTGCTGCAGCACGCGGGGGGGAGCCCCATTGGCTGGGGGGGGTTTTGTTGAGAGTGGTGAGTGAGGCTGGGGGGCTGGGCCCTCTTCACCATTGCCAGCCTGCAGGGGAACCACTGCCCCATTCTCCTGCTTTTCCCCCACAGTCAGGACCTCAGGAGTGGGGTCCTCCTGGGTGGAGGGCTCTGGCTGAAGAGCTGGCTTGGGGGTGGGCTGGGAACCTGGCTGGGGGTCTGGCTGAGGGTCTGACTGGGGGTCCAGCTGGAGAGTGGGCTCTGAGGCTGGCTCAAGTGGGACTGCAGATTCCAGGTCGGACCCCTGGTCTGCAGTGGCCTCTTTGCTCACTTCGGGTTTGGATGCTGGCTCTTGGCATGCTTCTTCCGGGCTGGAGTGGGCCTTTGATTCCCCTCCTGGGCTTGAGCTGAGGTCTCTGGCCTGGGCTGTTTCTGGGGCCCCAGTTGGGGTCTCTGTGGTTTCTGGAACCAGCCCAGCCTTGAGCTCTGAGTCCACAGGGGCCCCAGTGATGTCTGGGCCTGGCTGTAGGGCCTCTGGCTCATCTGAGACCCCAGCTGGGACCTGGAGAGGGCCAATTCTGGCTTCAGAATGGCCAGGCCCTTCTCCCTGAGTCTGGGGACCCTCCTCTATCCCTTTCATCTCAGAGACCTCAGAGCTGCTGGCTGCCATCTTGAGATGGGAGAGGGGAGAGGGCCTCTGTGGGAAGGATGGAGCAGCAGAGACAGCAGCAAATCCTGGAAAAGGAGGAGACAGGCTTGGTGTGAGGAGGGAAGCAGTGGCTCTCAGCACTGCAGCCCAAGAGGGCTATGCTCCTGCCTCAGGGCTGCCATAGGCTGCCTCTGGGGAGAGGAAGAAAAGTTGGGGTTTCCTTTGCCTTAGGGTGGGACTTCTCTGGGGAGGAGTGCTCTGCTCAAAGTCTTCTGCTTGGAGAGCGGTGGCAAGATTAACCCTTTTGTAAACAGGACCCGCCCCATGGTCTCTTCCTGGGTCCACCCAACAAGATCCAGACTCTCAGATCCTAGCAGATGGCCCAGCACCCCAAAATCAACAAGCTGTGCAGACACCCGTACACTCCGACAGGCAGACTGGGCAGAGCACCCGATACTCACATTCCACTCCCTCTGCATCCTCCCCTCTTCTCGTGGGCACCCAACTGGTGCGCGTTTCTTGCTGCGCGTTTGGGGCACAGACGCCCCTGCCCCTCCCTGGGGAACCTGGGCATCTCCTCTGAGCCCCTTCTCAGCCCCTCTCCCGGGGATTCCCTCGCCCCGGAGGACCAACGCCTCCTCCTCCCATTGGTGTGGCGCGCCCAGCACCACCATCCAGTCCGCCAGGCACCCGCATTCCCGTACAGCGCCCGCCGTCTGTCCGTCCAGTCCTACCCGCAGCCTCAGCCCATCCCCGTCTCACCTCGACGCCGGCCTCCAGACTGCTCCCACTGCTGCTGCCACCGCCGCCGCCACCGTTGCAGCAGCCGCAACCCGGGAGGGAGCGAGTCAGCGAGCCAGGGAGGGAGGCGGCGGGTCTCCCCTCCCCTCTGCTCATCCCCTCCTCTCCCTCCTCTCAGGTCCCCTCCCCTACGCTCTGCTGCGGCCGCGCGCCGCCCCCGCCCCTCGCACGCCTCCCGGCCCTCCCCGCCAGCCCAAGGGAGCCACTCATGCCAGGCCCCGCGTTACCCGGGCGACCGGCCGGGGGACCACTCACGCAGCCTCCCTGCCCCTTCCCACGTGCGCCTTCTGGGGGTGCCCCCTTCCCAAGCCCGGGGCCCCTCCCACCAACGGTCACCGGGGGTCCTGGTTGGAGGAAACGGAGAGGGGTCTGCGAGGAGACGGGACCTGTAAGACAGGCAGGACCATAGGGAGGCACCCCTACAAGCAGAAAGAGGGGAAGGGAGATGAGGCAAAACATGGGGAGGCTGTAAAGTGAGAACAGAGTGGGGTTTCCAGAGATGGGAACCTGAAGAATAGTAAGTTCCTCTACCCCCTAGGAAGCAGCAGCAGAAATGGGTACTGGAAGGTTCAAGAAAAGGGTCCCTGTAAGGGCCGGAGCAAGGACTGGGAAGGGAATTCCAAGGGGCAGGGCGGAGGCTGCAGGGACAGTCTGGAACAAGGAGGGGGCTGGGACAGAGAAGCCTGAGTAAACACAGGGTGGACCATGCCAAGAATGAAGGGGATAGGTGGTGAGACCTGCACTTTTCCTTCTCAGCCTCTGCTCCCAGTCCTAGGGCTGACTGCTCCAGCCTTTCCACAGCTGCATCATCCATCATCTCTCAGGGCTTTAAGGGTGTGCAGGTATTTGGCTGGGATCTGAGCAGCAGGCAATGGGTATGGATGGTGGAGGGCAGCACTTACGTCCAGCAACTGTTTAGGTTTCTAACCCAGGCCTCTTCAAACCTCCAGTGGCTATTCTGGGCCTGTCGAGATTGGGTATTCCCCGGAGACCTGGGAGTCCTGGAACTTGCTCTCCACAGCCACTAGAGCTGTGGCCTCACCCTGAATCTGGGCTGCTGCCACTGGTGCTGCCTCTGGGGAGGGAGGAGCCAGAGCCCCAGAGCCACACAGGGCAGAGCAAGACTGGGACTGACAGCAGGCCCAAGAAACTCCTTGGGAGTGGGGACAGGGGCCTTGGTGAGAGCAAGTCATTCAATCCAGAGTCAGAGACAGGTTTTTATTTAAAATTTATTGTAATGGGGTCCGCGCAAAAGGAGGGGGTGAAGGGTGGGGAACATGCAGGGGACACAGGAACACGATGACATGGCCAGGGCCACAGCTTGTCGTGGGGGAGAGGGATGAAAAGAAAAGGCCAGGGCTGGAGCTGGGGTGGGAGAGAGAAGGGGGAGACACTGCGGCTGCATTCCCCCACCCCAGGAAGCACCTCTAGGCCCTGGATCCCCCCATTTACCCTGGCCCCCCAAGATTCCATCTCTTGGCTTGCCTCTGGCCCTAGTGGCTCCTTCTTTTGCTCCCCTTGACTTGTTTTGCCCTGACAGATTCTCAAGTAGGATCTTGAGATCCCAAGGGCCGACCCCAAACAACCCCACCTTATGAAGGTACAACCTCTGCCTTCCCTGCTTCTGCCCCTTCTCAAATCTCACCGTTTCCCCTCCCTGGGACAGAATCTTTAATTTCCCTCCTTTCTCTTCTCCCTCCCCCTGAAAAAAAAAAAAAAAAAAAAAAAAAGCACCAACTCCCCAGGAGGGGCAGCAGACAGTTGAGGGGGGCTGGAAGGAGGAGAGCAAGGACCATCAAGGGAGAAGGCTCACGAATCCCTGGAAGGGCAGGGCAGGGGCTTACAGAGAGGAGAGGGGGTGAGGGCAGTGGCTGCTCCTGTCCTCTGCCACCCCTGCCCCTGTCCAGGGGGCTTCAACACAACCAAGGGGACAGGTGTGTGGGGTCAGGTCTGATAAGGAGAAGAGAGGAGCAGGAGAAACAAATTGTTAAAACCTAGCGAATTCCCCTAAGAAAACATTTCTTCTTCCTTTCCTTCTGGAGGCTCCTTGGTTGGTGGGGTAAGTGTGAGGAGTTGGTGGGAAGAGAGAGGGAAAGAGGAGATGGTACCAAGGGACTTTCCTCCATTTTCCCCTCTCCTCCCCATCAACTTGGAGCTCACCAGGGCTGGGAGGGAAGTGGCTGAGAGCTCACAGGCACCCCCTCGGCCCCCGAAAGGGAGCCCACAGCTGTGGGAGGGGCTGCCACTGCCGCCGCTGCTGCCGCCGCCGCTGCTGCCGCCGCCGCTGCAGCCATTGGACAGACCTCACCAGTACCTGCACCAGAAAAACACCAGATCACAGCGCAATCTGAATGGCAAGCCTGCCCCTTGCCCCAGACTCCTTCTTCCCCTGGGACACAGCCGTTGCTCACTTTCTGTTTGGTCCCCAGAGGCTTCAGCCTGCATCCTTACCCAGTTCTGAAGGGCCCTCCCTGTCCCCAGAAATCTCCCTAACTTAAATGATAGATGGGCATCCCTGGCCTTCCTGAGATCCCCTGTTGGGCCCTTTGAGCCCCCTCGTCCCACACACCCATCCCACCCCCCCCAGCCATGCCCCACGCCTTGCCTGGTGGGTGCAGGGGTCCCCCTCAGCAGGTGGGCTGTGGCTGGGGGGCATCTCCCGGGACAGGGGGGGCGGCCCCCCCCAGATGGGTCTGCATGTGGCCGGCCAGCTGGGCAGGGGTCTTGCAGTGCACGCTGCACAGCTTGCACAGGATGCGGTCAGCCCGCGGGGCCTGGAGCCCATGGTCCTTCACCGCGTGGATGCGCAGGTATGCTGCCGTGGTGAAGCCTATGGGGGGGTGGATTGGGATGGGGGGATGGGGTCAGCCAAGCGGAGACCCCAGAGACGGGGCTGTTCTCCTAGGCTGGGGACGCCCTCCTCAGATGGCCCTATCCTCCTCCCACCACATCCTTGGTAGCCTGGGGCCAACTACTCTGCTGGGGCTGATGGGGTACAGCCCCTCCCTGAGCTTGGGGCCTGCCTCGTTGAGTGGTGTCAGCTTCTCGGCCTTGGTACCCTCATCAGAGCCCATTCTCCATGGCTGGGGGATCTCTCCCGGGTGACTGATTCCTAGCCATTTGAAGAGTTGACCCTCAGCAGAGACGGCTGTGTCCCCTCCCTCCAGTGCCCTATAGAGTCTCAGCCCGGTTACTCAGTGAACAAGTCAATCTGTTTAAAAGCAGCTTTCTCTGCCACTGGGGTAGGGTGCATGCTTGTTAAACCCCTGCCAATTTACTCCACTTGCCCCAGGAGCCAAAGAGGAGAACTTGTGGCTGCAGAGCTGAAAGCTTGCCTTCCAACCCTTGCGACTGGCTCTCTTGACCACTCCTTCCCCAGAGCAGCCATGTGCCACTCCCACTCTCCCCACACACACCCAGAAGTTTACTCTTTCTGGTAGACAATCTCCTCCAGCTACGACCTCTTAGAACTTAAGCGATGTTCAGTCATCCCAATGTTGCTTCATCTGCTTCCCAAAGGACTCTAGATGCCACAAGCTCTTGGCTACAGCACCTTTAACCCACATCTGTGGAAGGGTCTCTGGCTCTGATCCCACCCTTTGTCCCTGGCCTTCCCGGCATCCCTCAGCATGTACCTTTGTTGCAGAGTTCACAGACGTGGTGAGGACCTTGGCTGTGCACCTTCATGTGGTCCGAAATGTAAGCTGAGCTCAGCATCTTGCCACACACATGACATGGCACCTTCTCCTCGTGTCGTACTGTGTGCGCCCGAAGTCGATCCTTCGTAGCAAAAGCTGCCTCACATTTCTGGGGAGGGGGGAGGGGCGTGGGGGGTGTCAGGAAAGTTAAAGCTTCGGGGAGTAGGGAAAGGGGGGCAAGAGGTTAAAGGAATCAGAGTCTTGGGGATCTTTGATCTGTAGGAAATGGGAGTGAGATGATGAGGCCTTGAAGAAGGGATGAAGAAAATGGAGTGAAAAAGCAAAAAGGAGAGAGAGAGAAAAAGGGGGTCTGAGAGGCTGAACTCAGACAGCTACAATGAGGATCAAAATCATGAAAACCGGGACAGGAGAAAGTGGGCTTCCTACCTCACATTTGAAGGGCCGTTCTGTTGAGTGCACTTGTCTGACGTGACTGTTGAGGTGATCCGGCCTGGGGATAGGTTGGGGCTGGGGTTAGGGCCCTGGGATGTGGAGGTGCCCCTAAATCTGCCTAACTTCGTAGGTATTACAGGCCTTCCTAAAGGTCTCTGGATTTTCTCCCAAGCCTGGGCTTCAGAGTCCTACTTAGACAGGAAACCCCTCCCCTCACGCAGGGCAGACATCCTCCTCCCAAGAGCAGCTTTCCTACAACCCAAGGACCCACCTCCTCTGCTAAGCACCACCCCCTGCTCCCTGGTAACCGAGAGGCTTTCCTCCCTCCTCCCTGGGAGTGGCTCCCTGTCCCCATCCTCTGAAACCTCCTCCCTCCCACCACCCAAGGCCAGGCCACCTCCGTTGCTGTCCCTCCCTCCCCACCCGCATAGTGGGTGGCTGAGGCCCTGTGCACACCGGGAGAAGCTCTTGCCACAGTGGGAGCAGTTGTAGGGCTTGTGCACAGCGCCGTCATGTGAGCGCACGTGGTAGCTCATGCGGTCCTTGCGCTTGAAGCGCTGCTGGCACACCGGGCACTGGTAGGGCTTCTCGTCCGAGTGCGACAGCTTATGTCGGTTCAGGTGGTAGACGTCGCGGAAAGCCTTGCCGCACATCTCACAGGCGTGGTTCTTCCGGACGCGCTTTCCCGAGGCGGTGGTGGTCACCACGCCACCAGCGGCCACTGCAGCCGCTCCGCCGCCGGCTCCCGCTTCTCCCCCTCCCCCGCCGGCTCCGCTCAGCTGGGGTACGCTCAAAAGGCTCAGGGGCACCATAGTGGGCATCTTCATAGCACCCGAGGGGACCCGGCCCGCCTTGGCTCCCGTGTGGATGGCCTCGTGCCTCCGGAGATTGTAGCCGTTCTTGAACTCCTTGGCGCACAGAGCGCAGATGTAGGGCCCCTTGCTCTTTGTTTTCTTCTCCAAGGCAGATGCGACGGGGGCCACGGCGACCGTCGAGGTTGGGGCTACGACGGCGGTGGCCGCGGCTGCGGCGATGGTGGCGGCAGGAACAGGGGGCGCGGCCTCGGCAGCGGGCG